CGAATCGTGTGGGCTTGACAGTTGTACAATTTGGTTACGTCTCTTTTACCATAAAAGCCTGAAGGAATCATAGGGGCCTAAGGGATCCTATAACCATGTCCATTTTATGAGTCTTTTACGATTTTTTTGTCATGAAAATATATCTATTTCCTAATAGTTTAACTCTGGTTTAGATTAGTACCTTCATTATCATATTTTATTTATAAAGATAATCTTTTGTATTTTTTTCTAATATTAATAGCTCGTTTTTACTTATAATAAATATATCTAAATTTCGTATAACTATCATGTGAAGGAATTATTCTTTTTAGAAAATAAATCTCCGCTAGAAAAGTCGGGATCTCCGGGGGCCTTGGAAAGAAAAACCGGAAAAACAAACAGCCTACATATAGAGTTTTTTGTAGGCTTTCAAAAACTATAAAAAGTTGAGTATTGTTAAAACCAGCAAGCTTACATATAGGCGTGTGAGTGCTATTTAGGAAATCACATTTGAATAAACTTATTTTTCCATTATCTATCCTCGCTCAAACCTCATATCTCTTTTTATTTATTTAGTATCAATTTCTTTTTTTATTTTTATTTTAAATAAAAACTTGTGAGAACACCTCTCACAATGCATTGTTTTCGTGGATATATATATATATACTATCGCTCTATTCGTACAATATCTATCTATCCACCTTATAGAAGAAAAAAAAAACTCTATTAATTGTAATCCTCCTCTCTTAAATCATCCATCACTTGAAAGGGCTTTTACGTTACAGAAATGATATATAGAATAACATTTATTACACGACAGAAAATTTGAAGAAAATTCTTTCTCCACTCCTCAGTGGTGTAATTGGGAGCCCTAGCTTCTGAGTGTAGCACGGGACTCTCAGACTATGGTCCATTGCTGCTATCACCCTATCTGCGTGTGTAAGGTTATACTTCCAGAAGTTCTGATATTCTACATGTTAAACTTTTTTGACTTTTTCAAAATATGTTCAACCGTTTACGCGCTAAAAAAACTCATTTCATTAGTATGGGAAAAGGAAAGAAAGTTGGGACAATAAAAAATCACTATTTTAGAGTGAGCACGTCTGATTCACCGCTCCAGCTATCTTCGGTTTGTGGACCTAATGTGGTGGTGGTCAAGGTAATATATAGTGTATACGATCCCCTTACGTGTAAGAGTTAGGACTACCGATACATTAATTATTTTTTTCAAAATAGTTGTAAAACTTGGGGAGGTAGATTGATTATTCGAGTATATAGGATTCACAACGTCAACTAAAGCTTTATTAGGTTTTTTTTGTTACTGAACACGTTGTTGCCTGCGTTCACGCCATGAAACGACTGGGACTATGTATTCTAGCTGGTCGACGATGAGCTCTGATTTTGTCAACAAATGATCGTTAAACCGATTGATTATTACCACATCAAGCCACCTTGCACTACGAATACGACTAATCGAGGGTGCAGGCTGATTATTGGATATCGATGACCGTGCTCTAAACGTGGAGCGGCTACGTGGGGTGGAGATTGCTTCAAAACGTTACCATATGTCGGCCAAAAGATTAACTCCAATATGCTACATGCAAGTGTCAATTTATCAGCGTCAAGTGTTTTCAGTATGCTTGGTTCGATGGCCCCCAACTGCAAGAGTTGTCAGCGCCATCGTATTGATAGACGTTGCATTCCGTATTGGGCGTGTTTACCCATTGTTAAGCTTGGGTCCCTACATCATCCGAAGGGTACCTATCAAAGAGGAAGGAAGACCAGGTAACGGACCGAAACGAATGACATAGCACCACAAGGCAAAAGAATCAACGCATGAGGTCTCTTAGACTAGTAAGTAAGAGTGCTAGTTTAGTAGCATCTATTAAATAACTTACTACATTTTGATTTTCAAGCATGTAATTTGGCCAATTGTACTACTCTTACCCTCTGAGACTAGTTGATAATCGAGTTAATAGAATATGAAACGCATTCCAAATCTTGACGAGTATCGAAAGCCAACGAAAAAAAAAATAGTAACACAAAAGTCGAAAAAAACTCGTGAAGAAGCCTTTCAAATACTAATTGGCGCTAAAGATGCCTTGTTTTGGATTTAAATCTGGAAATTCAGCAACATCTCACAATATGAATAGTACGTTGTTCAAGGCTGACAACTGGATGCTCCTTCTATACATTATATGATTTAGTTTATTTTTTCTTTAAAGTAAGTTTATGTTTGTGTACAATCTTAGTTTTAGTCTACCGTTTTTCTTTTTAATTTGGAGGAACAAGTTAGTGAGCAATAGGACTAAGTTATTTCTTCTTGTCGAATGTCATAATTTTCCTCCCCGTCAAGGTAATTTGGTACAGTTACAATGTTTGATACGAAAACCACACTAAGCGGAGTAATAAACACTGAATTATAAACTGTATTGTTTGTGTGTGTCCTATGTTAGAAATTTTTTAAAATAACTTGCTTTCATTCTTTGTATCATACGAGAATTGTTTCATTATGTTTAAAATTTATTGTTTCAAGAAGAAGACCAAACAAAAATTAATACTAAGAATCTTATGAAAATAGTGGTACATCTTTCAACCTTAGTTTTTTCCTGCATAGTTCAAATGAAAACAATAGTATGTTCCTATATTTTACAAATTATTTAACATGGTAGCGTGTGAGATATGGAATAACTAATTTTTGTACAACTGCACTCATTAAATCAACAAGACATTAGTGCCTAATTGTCTGGAGATGTAATCATGGATCACACCGTAGAAATAAGCTATGGGATGATAGACAAGATATGAGAAAATAAAGATAATTATATGGTAAAAAACTGAACCGAAAACAATAGAATTAATCATAAAGTTCAAACTAAATAAAAACTAAACACGAACATGAATCATAATTTAATTAAATTCTTAGGATAAAATGGTTTTTCATTCGTAATAAGTGTATAAGTAGAAATAAAATTAAAATACACAATATTTAGATCATTTTTACGCTTTAGATAGAAAAATGTTAAAATAATTCAGTTGTAAAAGATCTTTCGAGCAAACTGGTTTAGGAGCTTTTGGGGTTTCTGTTCTTGCACTGAGTTCTTGGAGGTTGCTTTTGTGGTTACTTTTTAAATAAGTTGATGCCTACGATAGTTACCAGTCTCGATGTTACAGGAAAAAAAAAGGCCCACATTTTTTTTTAAACTAAGTAGTATGGCTGAAGTATTATTACATAAAATATTTTCAAATTTGAGAATATAAGGCAATACTTAGGTGATCAAATCTTCCCGTGGTGTTGCTTTTTGGAATAAAAATTGATTTTAATTATTTTATTTCATATTTGATATTTGCACTGCTGAAATGATTATAAATAGTATGATTTTGTTATGATCAATCGCAGTTCAGTGTCAAGACACACTTGGTAGAAAGGTAATGCATCTGGTCAGATCGTTTATCCGATTTACTTGATTTAATTTTTAAAATGATGTTGTTTGGACTCGTCTCGATTACAATAAATTACAAAAATAGTCCCAGCCAAGTCACCGCAATGGAGGATTAAGGCAGGTCCATGTAAAAAAAAATAACCGCCAAAAATGAACAAACGTGTATTCCAAAAACAATCCAACAATGATTTTAATAAAAGGAAACTACCAACAAGTGTTGCAGAAAAGTAAACATTAACGTGATTGGGATAGAGATATGGATGGGACACGATGGTTGCGGGTAATGATCTCAAGCCCTTCGTAGTTAGAAAGTAAGATGGTTTAAGGTGTATCATGGTATAGCGAAAGCAAGATTATATTTCCTAATAATTGTATTTGAGTATTTGATTATTTATAATACTGAAAAAAACAAACCAATAATAATCATAGATATGTGAGACAAGTAAGTATGATGTGATCTGTCACTCTAAAGTCTGGCGCATTTCAAGAGTATAAATAATAAAATCCGGATATAAAGTTAAAAACTTTGTGTCAACATGTATATCTAAATCACCACAGTATATGCTCTAAATGAATAGATCTGCCAAAGCACGAACCACACACAGATTCACGCCTCGCCGCCATCGCAATATAGAGCGCGATGAGCCACAATTGTGCCTCCCCGGAAATCAGCAGAGAGAACATGCGAACGAAAGATGTGGCAACAAGACCTTAATGAAGTAATATTTATAGTTTGAGAGGAAGTTTAGGGTTTAATTTTGTTTTGTGGTTGTGGATATTTTATTCGATAGTGTAAGAAGTTGAGAAGTCAACAGCGGCATTAATGAGGGTATTGTGGAGAGAGTGGCATGACACGTTGCTGTAATTAAACTTTTCAGATACGAGTTGGGGACCTGGCATATGACATGATTCATAGCTACCTTACCAATCATCATATCATATCATATGCTTCTGCAAACATACAAAAGCATCTCCAATCATGCAACGCAACCATTTCATGTGGTGGAACCCTGCTTCTCGTCATCAACTACTGTTCATATTTCTATTCCTATTCCTTCTAGCTGTCAATGCATTCTTCACTCGCTTTTTCACCCATCACCAATTCATTTCCATTATTTTTGGAAAATCAATTCAACACCTTGCTTTTTCCCACTTTTTTTTATTCATTCTTACACACTTGCATAAACCAAACAATTCTCTGCATTCCCCGATTAAGCATCGTAAATCCTCAAAATAAAATAATGCCACTTGAAGAACCTTCAATTCTTATACTTTAAGAGATTCAAGCAAGTCCGTTCGTACACAGTTTTTTGTGTGTCCAAAATTAGAACACGAATTCCTGCTATTATCCATGCAATCATGTCCCAATCCCACCCCTTAACTTTTCCACACCTGGGACCCATACCTCCCATCCTAAACAACTCGACCCACTATGGACAAATTACTCATTAACCACGACTTTGTAAATGACAAATATAATCTGACGAAAGAGAACAATCCAAAACCAAATTAGCACACAAAGGGATGCTGACATCATATATTAATATAATACATCATTTCTTCATCTTGTTTTTTTTCTTTCTCAATCTCTACAACAAAAACAGTAATTACTTAACTCACCCAAATTAACGACACAACCTATAATCTCTGTACACATCATTTAGGTAGCTGGCTAGCAAAACAAACACACCGAGATGCCCCCCCAACAGGTGATTGGAAAATCATATATGAAAAATGATTGACATTGAACACTATAGTATAGGAGAGGAGAGTGCAAAAGAAATAATTGAGGGGGACATGAAATTAATAGGAGAGACTAGAAGAATCTGACAGAAGGGGAACGAAGATCCATCTCCTGGGTCCATGCGTTCCGGTCCTGGACGTGCAAGTGCCAGAAGGTTTGAGCCAGTGCGTCCGGGTCCATTGTACTCTCACCTCCTCCTCCCACTACTCCACTGCTTTGCTCCCCCGACGAATTACCCCTCTGCAATGACGTCGTCAATGTTCCTCCTCTGCCCCACAACATGCAAATTCATCCGTCAATACCTCAACTTCCTTTCTTTAACATCGTTTCTTAGTTTAAGCAGTGTAATTTGTAAACACATTAGTTATTAAAAGGATTATATGTATAACCTCTCCAAATATCAGATTTTAACCAAACAATCATAGTTGAGCTGCTACATGCCATGTTATCAAGCATTTTCCAGACTATATATCTATCTATCTAGCAAAACTATATATGCTACTTTCCAGAGTATAAGGATTATCTATTTTTTTTTTTTATATTTTGGTATGAATATATAGGAAATGAAAGAATTAGTATGCAATGCTGCCAAAAGAAAAGAAAGGTATGAAGGTGTGTATGTAAAGAAAAGAAAGCAACCTGGGTGGGCCAATGAGGCCGTCGATGATAACATGAGCTACGTGCACTCCCTGGGGCTGAAATTCCTTGGCCAAACATTGCGATAGTGCTCTCAAAGCGAATTTCCCACAGCCTGTCTCATCTCCCCCATTGGGTCCAGTGTTCTCACAAATTCAATTAATTCAACTCAATTTAATTACTCTAGAAGAACAAGAAGAATGCAAAAAGAAAAAAGATATATAATTGGTATTTACATAGTTCGGAGTATCCAGCAATGCCGTTGAGAGAAGTGGAACAACCCGTGAAGAGAAGGGTTCCCTTTCCTCTTTCAACCATTCCGGGCAGCACCTTATATAAAGTTCATGAATCAACGTGATGAAAGAAAAGCACAGTAAGTACAGATTAATCGATGGAGGGATCGATAGAAGGGTAGGTACCTGTTGAGCGCAGTGGAAGGCACCGACAGAAGAAACGGCGAGAGATTTGTGGAAGGAATCGATGCGAAGGTCTTGGAAGGAAGTGGGGTAAGAAGATAGGGGTTGGTATGCATTGTAAACGAGAATTTCGACGAATCCCAGAGACAGCACTCCCTCGAATGCCTCTCTCACGCTTCGGGAATCGGAACAGTCTATTCTAATGGCGAAAACCTGCGCCTTCTCTTCCCTGGCTATTTCGTCGGCGAATCTCGACAACCGCCCTGTACATAGTAAATTACTTAGTTGATTTGCATCTATGGTAGCATAAGATATGAGAATAATAGGAATAATAAAAGTGGTTACGGACCCAGGTCACGAGCGAGGATGGCGACGGTGTAGCCCTCGTGAGCGAACTTGCGAGCGATGGAGAGGCCGAGGTTGGGACCGACACCGACGATGGCAGCAATGCCTCGTGAAGAAGCGGAGCTGGCCATGTTTCGCATCTCTGTATGTGCAGTGTATGAGAATGGGTTAAGAAAAAGAAGTGTAAAGGAATATTATATTGTGGAAGGGTTTGGTTTGGTGGAATGAATGAGTGAGATATTTAAGTAGTGGAGTGGAGTGAAGATGATGAGTAGTAGGGTGTGAGATGTGGTGGTTGTGTCTGAATCATTGCCTCCCTTACAACCAGCATTCTCACTCTCCTTTCTTTCACTACTACTTCCTCTCAACGTCACTTGCCCCATTCCTAACCACAAATATTACTGCTTTTTTCTACATTAATACTCACACAACACAACCCTCCCATTCCATCTTCAATTTCACTCCATCCTTCCATTCAATCTCTCTTCAAACAACTACAAATATTATGTCAAAATCTGTTCCTGCATTTCATTTCCAAAAAAAATTATGCTTTTTTTTATGCAAAGACTAAAGAGAACCAGAAATATTATTTTTTTCATTTTTCTTATTAGTGAGAGAAACAATGCACTTCTTTTTATTCAAATTTTGATTCTAATCTATTCATGTACTAAGAAATGATTGCTACCAAGACAAGGAAGATGTATGATACGAGTCACGAGTAACTAGTACGGAAGAATATTTTTAAAGAGAAATATTTCTTTCTTTTTTTATAATGTAATTGAATGGATTTTAAAGTTAATTTAATAAGATAAAATCATTTTATAAGATAATATTTACATTTTTTTATTTATACATCATAAATAAATTTTGTTTTTAATTAATATGAAATTTTTAATATATTATTCTCAAAACATATTAATCTCATGCATGAAATACTATATATCAATAATTAGTTTGATAGTAACTTAATAGTAGATAAAATAATAAATTTTAATAATATTGACTTATT